ATTCTATTCTATTCTATTCTATTCTATTCTATTCTATTCTATTCTATTCTATCCTGTATGCCAAGAGGGTTGACCTTGGCCTAGAAAAGTAGCTGCATTTGTGTAGTAAGCAAGAAAGCATCCCAACTTTTACAATTCACACAATTTCAACCTCCAACACCCTTCCTCCACCTTTCCCTGACAGCCAGAAAGAGTCAAGGAGAAGAAAGAATCTTAGAGGGGGGTTGGACTAGATGACCTACAAGTCCCTTCCAACACATCTGTTCATCTGACTCCCAAGGCCCCTCTCTCACAGCGACCGTTTTAGAGCCGGGCGGTCGGGCAAGCCGGCAGGGCTGGACCCCCGAGGGCGCTCTCCAAATGGGCCCAGGGCCGAGGGACTGGAAAGCCGGGGACGGAGCGCCTCCACTCCTTCCTCCCGCGGGGGGGGGCTCCAGCGCCGGCGAGGGCTGGGCTGAGGGTGGGGGGTGTCCAGGGGCAGGTGGCCTCCCTCTGCCCCCCCCTCCCCACCGCCTCCTCCCTCGGAGGAGGAGGAGGCGGCCACCCCCGATTTGCATGCGGCTCAGACGGCCGACCGGAGCGCGCGCCTTTACGCAGGAGGCGAGGAGGGGCGCGCGCCCAGCCGGAGGTGGAGCCGCAGCCGGAGTCGGAGCTGGCCGAGCCGCCGCTAGAGGCGCGTCGGGAAGAAGTCGGCGGAAAGTTGGAGGCGGCGGCGGCGGCGTCCTCCGCTTTGTCCCGGGCCGAGCCCGGCCGCTCCTGGCCCGCCTGAGCCGGGCGGAGAGAGAGAGAGAGCGAGAGCGAGAGAGAGGCGGGACGTGGACGCGGCGCCGGAGGGAGAGCGAGGCGGGCGGGCTCCTGGTGCTGCCCTCTCGGCCGGCCTCCTGCTCCCGGCCGCCGGCCATGTCGTCCATCCTGCCCTTCACGCCGCCCATCGTGAAGCGGCTGCTGGGCTGGAAGAAGGGCGAGCAGAACGGGCAGGAGGAGAAGTGGTGCGAGAAGGCGGTCAAGAGCCTCGTCAAGAAGCTCAAGAAGACCGGCCAGCTGGACGAGCTGGAGAAGGCCATCACCACGCAGAGCGCCGCCACCAAGTGCATCACCATCCCCAGGTAGGGAGGAGGGAGACCCTCCGGGACGCCCAGGCCCCGGGGGTGGCTGTGGGGGTGGGCGGCCTGCCTTTGTTCCTCGGGACGGCTCTCCGGGCCCCCCTCCCCACCCGACGGGGAAGGAGGGAGGAGGCTTCTCCGGCGAGCCTCTCCCTCCGATGCCTCCCCCCGGATCGTTTAGGCGGGGGGGGGGTCTCCAATCTCGGCCACTGGGAGCCTGGCGGACTTCAGCTCCCAGAATCCCCCCCCCCCCCCGCGAGCTTTGCCCTAAGGCAGGGGTCTCCAACCTTCTGGAGGCAAGCCACGCCACTAGGGTTTGAACAGAAGAACAGAGTTGGAAGGGTCCTTGGAGGCCTTCTAGTCCAGCCCCCTGCTCGGGGATCTCCAACCTTGGCAACTTCAAGCCTGGGGGGCCAACTCCCTGAATTGGGAGCAAAGCTGGCTGGGGAATTCTGGGAGTTGAAGTCTGCCAGGTTTAAAGTTGCCAAGGTTGGAGATCCCTGGTTTAGCAATTTAAAGTTGCCATGGTTGGAGACCCCTGGTTTAAGGTTGCCAAGGTTGGAGATCCCTGGTTTAAGGTTGCTAAGGTTGGAGATCCCTGGTTTAAGGTTGCTAAGGTTGGAGATCCCTGGTTTAAGGTTGCTAAGGTTGGAGATCCCTGGTTTAAGGTTGCTAAGGTTGGAGACCCCTGGTTTAAGGTTGTCAAGGTTGGAGATCCCTGGTTTAAGGTTGCTAAGGTTGGAGATCCCTGGTTTAAGGTTGCCAAGGTTGGAGATCCCTAGTTTAAGGTTGCCAAGGTTAGAGATCCCTGATTTAAGGTTGCTAAGGTTGGAGATCCCTGGTTTAAGGTTGCTAAGGTTGGAGATCCCTGGTTTAAGGTTGCCAAGGTTGGAGATTCCTGGTTTAAGGTTGCTAAGGTTGGAGACGCCCGGTTTACAGATGCCGCTAGTGATGGGGGGGCTCTTATTGGGGTGGGGGGAGGCGAGAAGGAGGCTGCGACAGTTCCATGGAGGATGGAGAGGCGCCCACTGCCTCCCACTACTTCTTTCTCTGCCTGCTTTGCAAGACCACGCTAGTTATGAGTCGGTAGTAAAAATAGGGGCGAAGCAAACAGGAGAATGTTTTTTAAAAGCACCTTTCAATGAGCAGTGAAAATGTTCCACCGTCATCGAATTCACTTATTCCAGGTTTGGTTTGGTTTACTTTATGTTTATTCCAAGACTCGCATGGATTATCATTTGTGTTTATGCCGGGAGCAAAACAGCGTCGTGATTGCAAGGATTCGCCTATGTGAAATAAAGAGGCCGGCAAACGTGGATGACACCTGGCAAAGGAGGGCCGGATTCCGTAAACTTCCAGCTTTTCTTTTCGTTTTTTTGGCCAAACACCTAGAAACCCAGTTACCACCAGGGCCCTTCCTGGGAGCCAGCTCCACCCCTGCCGGAAGGTTTTAACCCTGATTTGATGCTGGAGCAGCTTGTTCAGAAGTGACGATGGCCTGCCTGGCTGTCGCAGGCAAAACCGGGCAGACCACGATTTGGGAGAATAAGGGCAAATAATTTATCAGGGCATGAGATCCACCAGGATTCAGCTCCTGGGGGGAATCAACGGGGGGTCCGCCTGAACCAGGGCAGGAGATTTATTTATTTTTTTATTTTATTTTATTTGGTTTGTCAGTTGCTTACAAGATAATACGTGTAAGTAAAAACATAGTTATGAATATATGGATACATATAAGAAAAATAAAAGAAACAATAGGACAGGGACGGTAGGCACGTTGGTGCGCTTATGCATGCCCCCTACAGACCTCTTAGGTCAATAGCAGACAGTCTAAAGTTTTTGGGGTTCGGGGAAGAAACCACAGAGTCAGGTAGAGTATTCCAGACATTGACCATTCTGTTTATTTATTTTTATTTGTCAATTGCTTACAAGATAATAGGTATAATAGTTATGGATACATGAAATGGGTACATGTAAGAAAAATAAAAGAAACAATAGGACAGGGACGGTAGGCACGATTGGTGCGCTTATGCACGGCCCCTACAGGCCTCTTAGGAAAGGGGTGAGGTCAACAGTAGACAGTCTAAAGTTAAAAGTTTTTGGGGTTCGGGGAAGAAACCACAGAGTCAGGTAGAGGATTCCAGACATGGACCACTCTGTGGCTGAAGTCGTATTTCCTGCACCAGGTCCACCAGAGTTCAGCTCCTTTGGGGCATCAACTG